CCCCCCCCCCCCCCCCACCACCACTTCCACCACCTCCTCACCACCACCACCACTTCCACCACCTCCTCACTACCACCACCTCCTCACTACCACCACCTCCTCACCACCACCACCACTTCCACCACCTCCTCACCACCACCACCACCACCACCACCTCCTCACCACCACCACCACCACCACCACCTCCACAACCTCACTCCACCACCCACCACCTCCTCACCACCACCACCACTTCCACCACCTCCTCACTACCACCTCCTCCCTACCACCACCTCCTCACCACCACCACCACCTCCTCACCACCATCACCACCATCACTTCCACCACCTCCTCACCACCACCATCACCACCACCACCTCCTCACCACCATCACCACCATCACTTCCACCACCTCCTCACCACCACCATCACCACCATCACTTCCACCACCTCCTCACCACCACCACCACCATTATCACTTCCACCACCTCCTCACCACCACCATCACCACCATCACTTCCACCACCTCCTCACCACCACCATCACCACCATCACCACCACCACCACCTCCTCACCACCATCACCACCATCACTTCCACCACCTCCTCACCACCACCATCACCACCATCATGTCCTCCAACACCATCAGCTGCATCCTGTCCTATGAAACACACCTCCCAGCATACTTTGGGAATTAGCCAATGAAGTAAGTGTGAAAAGCACCGACAATTTGTGCTGAGTGCTGAACATGGTGCTGTGGCTACCGTGTAAATTATTGTCGGGGGAAGCAGAACCTAGGTAGGATGCAACCAGAGTTCTCTTCTCAGGAAAGGCAGCTCTCTCATGGCTGCTGTGCTCCTTCTGCAGGCATTGCCCTCAGCGCGCTCCCCATGTACCTGAGTGAGATCTCACCCAAGGAGATCCGCGGCTCTCTGGGGCAGGTGACTGCCATCTTCATCTGCATTGGCGTGTTCACCGGACAGCTGCTGGGCCTGCCAGAGCTGCTGGGAAAGGTAAGTGCAGCTTTCTGGTCAACCATGTCCACGCTGCTACCACTGTTAGCTTCAGGAGTGAGCTCTTCCTCCAAAAGTTTGTCCCTAACGATGGCAATTCCTGAGTGTTTAACCTTTTACTTATTATTGGAAAAAAGTTGTTGTTTTAATTCCTTTGGTTGGGTATTTCTGTTTGGTGTGGACATAAAAAATACATAATATATTGAAACCTTGTCGAATGTTTAAATCCATCCACCCAATAACGATAATTAATAACTCATTAGTATTTGTTTAGGGTTTTGTTCTGTTTTAAAAATCTTTATAGGGACCAGCAGATGGTATAATGGTTATGTTGCTGGACTCCCATGTGGTCAACCATGGTTTGAGTCCCAGACTCAGCAGCTTAAAACTCACATTGGAACCATGTGCATATGCATGCCCAAAATCCCAAGAGGAGAATGGGGAAAGGATTGCAGCATGGCCATTCCCCCCGCCCCTGGGGGGTGGTTTCTCACTTTCTCTCACTGTCTCTGTCTCTGGCGAGCACACATGTACTATAGCAAAATAATCTCTAAACAAACAAAAACCTATACAGACATATATAGTTTGATGTGTGTGTGTTTGTAATGGAATCACGCCATACACGTTGTTCTGTGAGTTGCTGTTTTCGTTTAATATATATGCGGCATCTTTTCAGTAAGTTAGCTTAGTTCTGCCTCACTGTTGAGTCTTCCTTTCCTAAACAAGTAAGTCATTACATAGTCTTCTGTTTGGGGCTTTGTTTGGGGATCAATAAAGCCTGGATTTGAATCCTAGTTCAACAATTTTCTTCTTATACAGTCCTGGAAAAGAGAAACACCTACTCAGTTTGGGTAAAATCACAGAAGGCTTCCCAGAAGAGGTGCCCTCTAAATAGAGCCCTACAGGGTGAGCAGGAGTTAAACATGTGATGATAGGGGTTGGGAGAGAGGACATCCCAGAAAAGGAGGAAAAGAAAAGACCCACAGCAGGACACAGCTCAGGAAAGTACTCAGGACTTGAAGGCCAAGAAGAGAGCATGCATGGGGAGACACCCCCACACACACTGAGTCACAGCAGACTTCCTCCTGGGGGAATAGGGAGCCTTGGATGGCACTAGAGCAGGAGCCTGATGTGGCCAGACCATCTGTGTTACAAGGTGGCTCTGGAGTGAGGACGGAGTGTCTCGTCTACACTGGGGAAGGAAGGAAGGGCAGAGAGAGAGCAAGCAGGAGGCTGTTGTTACTAGTAGTCATGATAAAGGAAAGATGAGGCTGGAGCTCGGACCGTGACCGTGGGGATGGGGATGCCTGGACAGGCTCATGTGGAGAACTCAGTCCCCAGCATTGGCTGCCTGAGGACCTCACAGGATGAGGGTAGGGGAGAGGCCAGCACAGAGCATTTCCTTCCTACTTGCACAAGAGAGGCAGGGGGAGAGGAGGTTAAACCACTGCCGATGGTCATGTTTCCCCAGTGCCAAAGACTGTTCTAGATGCTTGGCCAGGGCCCACAGACAGTTCTAGCAGGAGACAGGCCATAAAAACACAGTCTTTTCCCTTGATTTCCTTCCTGCCCCCTGATTGCCCATCACCACCCCACACTGTCTCTAGTACCCACAGTTGTTCTCCACGCTTTCCTAAAAAAAAAAATTAATTGTGAAAAAAAGGAGAAAAATGTAAAGTGGCCAATGACAACAAAAATCAAACACACACAAAGAGTGGAAGGTGTACTAGCAGGGAGGGCAACAGTAGATATCGGAGACCTTATAGGCAGGGCTGGGTAACAGGGAGTGGGATAGAGGGGATCAGGCAAAAAACAAACAAAGCATTTAACAGATACAGAAATGGAGAGTATTCTGTTGATGATGATGTATATGGTAATACCTTTGACTTGATGAATACACACTGTATTCATGCTGGGAAAAACCATGCTGTACCCTGTAAAGATGTTCAGTGATTAAATGTAAAATTAAAAAATGTAAAAGGAAAAAAAATATATGTATTCAATAAGCAAAATAAACTATGAATTTTAAAAAGCCACAAAAAAAGAAATGCGCACATGCGTTTATATAACACAACTGCTTGCCGTGCCATTCAAATGCTCAAGGCTACCTTGTGAGCGGTGCCGATCTACAGCCATGCAGACAGAAGCTGAGAGTGGTGAAGGACAGAACTAGCGAATTAAACAATACTGGAGCAGAAAGCAGAACCGAGGTCTGTGTGCTTTCAAATCCACTTCGGGCATTTGTCTAGCTCAGATAGCCAAGAACAGGGCACACTGGTTTCTCTGGGAAGGTGGGGACTGACTACACGTGGGGCACTTCCTGTGTCCCAGCTGCCTGTGCCCCACCAAGCAGAGCCTGCTCCTTTTTCGTTCAGTAGAGAGAGGCGCTGAGCAATCACCATGGCTGCGTGAGGGACAGAGGCACCCACTTCGGATCCCTCCTTACCCGCCCTTTTTGAGTTATTATGGCTACAATTTTATTTCTTTCTTTTGAAAAAACAGAAGCAACTCACACTCTACATTGTGGTTGTCACACGCCTGATGATTCTGTAATGAATGCAAGTGTGTTGGAAACTGTTTTCTTACCAAAGTGAGGTGCTACATTAAAAAAGATTCTTTTGCTTTTTGTTTCTAAAGACATTTTAAAATGCCCAAAATAGACAAAGGGCAAGGTATGCAGGACGTAAGAATTGGAAAATTATTTGCTGAGAACATATATGTGGATGTACTTGATTGAGACAATGCACAGTGTATTTTGGATGGAAAATTCATTTGTGTGTTGTGATGGTGTAAAGTGAATTAATAAATAAAAAAAGAGAACGTATAAAAATAAAAAAAATAAAAAATAAAAAAATAATAATAAAAAATTAAAAAAATGCCCAAAATAAACATTTTGTACATGACCATAAAAATAGCATAGCGATTATAGTCTTAGTCGCCCCAAATAAACATTTTGTACATGACTATAAAAATAGCATAGCGATTATAGTCTTAGTCCTTTAAATATAAAAATGTATTTTAAGGTCAACAAACAGTCCTGTTGTCCTCCAGGAATAAGAACGTAAATAACTCTCTGCCTCCATAGAGGCTCAGCTTTTGTCTTTGGAGACCTTTCTACATTTTTTATCATTCACTACACTTCTCTTTTCTAAGTCAACATCAGACTCTTTCTGCTACTTAGGTTCTCCAGCCTTTCTTAAACCTCTGCATTTGGCTTCATTCATTCATTCATTCACTCGTCTGCACATTTGTTAAGCACTGAGTTGGCTCCTGAGGCTACAGCTTTGAGCATATAGTACAGCCTCATCTTCATGATGCTCATGGACTGCAAAAAATATGTGACCTTGGGCAGATCACCCCACCTCACAGAGCCAGTGTCCTCTGATGTAGCAGGAATAGTCACAAGTCCTCAGTCTCCAAGTCCCGGTCAAGCAGGACATCCTCTGGGGAACTGTCACTGGCACATAGTGACCATTCGGCATCTCCTCAGAATATCTTGTATGTTTCTACATCTTGCCCATTCAGTTGATGGTATCTAACAGCTATGTATGTACACTAATGCAGAGGTGTCAGGTTTGCTCCCTCATTCAGCTAACATTTAGAAAGCTCCTGCTGTGTGTCAGGTGTCACAGTGAGTGCTGGTGATGGAGCTGTGAAGTCAACAGACTAGGCCCTACCTGTGGGACCCCCAGAGACAATTAGCTGGTGGTCACCAAGCGATGGGAGAAGGCAAGGGAGAGACCTCGGTAGGTTTTCCTATAGGAGTGACTTATCAATGCATGCCTTGTGCATAAATACAATTTATCTAGACCAGGGCTGGTGGAAAGAGAGAGAAGCAAAAGTATAAGATGTCTCAGCAGAGACAACAGTGTAGGGGAGGCCTTGACATTTGTTCAGAGGTAGAGATACCAGGGGGATCTGGAGCATAAAGGAGAGTAGAGAGAGGTGTTACTGGAAAGGGAGGCAGGGCCAGACCCATGGTGCAGGAAGCCCATGGCTGTGTTGTAATGAGCCAGGGAGGTCTGGGCAAGATGGAAGCCCGTGACCACTGGGGGAACGTACCCTATCCCATGGGAGCATCTTCTATCGTTCTCAAGTCAGACATGGGCGTAGAGCTGATAGGTTTTTTGATTTTCAAGAGATGTTATAATCCAGATTTCATGTCATGTTCCATGATTTTTAGATATCAGAAACTAAATGAGTTGATTTTTACAAAACAAAATAACAAACCTCTAGTCCGTGGGCTTGATCTAGACTGAGGGCTTCTTTTCAAGCACCTTGATGGGGAGTATGCACACCTGTGAAGGAGGGCCTGTACCAATAGCAATGAGACACCACTGGAGGAGGAAATGGGGAAATGGCAGGCAAGATGAGCACTGTAGAAAAGCCTCAGGGGGCCGGATGATGGTGTAGCAGAGAAAGACAATATTGCAGGGCTGACTACATGGAAAGGTCCCTGGTTGACGTCCAGAGACTTCCCTGAGTACTCAAGGCACCTCGCATGCTTGCGATCGGGGACTGGCTGAAAGCTATGGTAGACTGAAGCATGAAGACCTTCTTGGGGTGCCGTTTGTCTGTCTGTCTCTCTCTCTTTCTCTTGATCATGGAAGAAATAAACAAGTTTTTTAAAAAAGAAATGAAAATACTTTTAGCCTGCAGCACGAAGACCAGAAAGACTGATTGGTACAGTCAAGAGCTGCTAGGAAATTGAATGGCAGTCATTGCAGCAGGGACAGAGAGAAGCAGAGGGTGGATGATATTAGTGGGTGAGGAATGTGGGGTCCTGCGGAGGAGACTCAGTAATAACCCCTGTGTCTCTCTCAGGGAGAATGGTGATGCCATATGCTAAGACAGGGATCCCTAGGGGAGGAGGAGCAGCTTTGCAAGAGACAAAATGACAAGTTCCCTGAAATGAACTTCCTAAGTCCCAGACCAACTGGAAGGTTGAGCTAATTCCAGGCCCTGGGTAGCTGTATTCCCAGGCTGGAATGCCCCTTCCT